TAACACTGTTATCAAGCAATTATGTTATCACATCACTTGCTTGATAACGGTGTTAATATCTACACTGAAACGTCATATTCATTGTAATAAAGAAGTTGTATGTCCATCGAACTATCTCCATCTTTAATCATTCAAACTTCTAAATGCAACTTAAAGAAGTTCAGGAAGTTGGTATTTACAGTTTGTTACTTACTTACTTTGGAGATATAACGTGCGCTCTCCGACTGATGCGGACAGGATACAGTTTGTTCAATAATACAGGATATAAGTTTTTCTTGGGCGGTATTCTGGGCATTGCACATTATGTCACTGGACTGACTAGTCCTAACCTTAGCTGGAGTCTGGGGCTACTACCCGGGTACCTACCCCACTATTACACGACCCAAGTGGTGGTGCATGAAAATAATAGGTTACATAAAATGGGGGTGGGGGTGTGGGAGTGTCCACAAAATACGATACAGTCCTAAGACCAATCTCACTGCCACCCCACCCAATCACCCCCCAATAATAAATGACCCCAATCACACCCCATAATAACTGACCAGTCCCTTACTTTAAATCAACTCAATATACGGTGGATGTAAACAAATACTACTGATGCCTGAGAAACAGACCTGTCAGACTAACAAGATGTTACGCATAAAGAGTCTATAGCCATGCTCGTACTTACGTGAAATAAGGATTCACATACTGAGGGTAGCTAGCTGTTGTTATAATCCTATCCCTGTCAAATACCTCGGCCATGTGTACCTGTCACGTGGAAAGCTGTGTTCTTCTCAAGTGACAGTCATCAGTCACGGGGCGGACTCTAACAACAAAGTCATATGACCAGGTCATGTGACTTGTCACGTGATAAAGCCCAAACGTCAACAAAGCATATCTGTCATGCTGACTTCTGTCTTCCCGTGAAAACCAGGTTTCATTTACCGAGATAACCAACAGACATATGGTGATAACAGAAATATATTTGTAGGCTAAAGTATTTGATATGAAACAAATAACGGTTCACCAGCTCAAGGGTTTCAAACCAGTCAGTATCTCTTCTACGAATATTTTCACTGCACGTGTTGATCATTTAGCTACGTACATTGTTACAGGTATATGCATGTAAGACAAAGTGTGCCATGCGTCTCGAACTCCAACCAATACACAGTTAGTTACCTTTGTGGGCCTACATCAGTCTATCTACCCAACAATTTTGAGAGCTGAAACTTAATTAATTAATAATATGCCTAATCACACACTCACTACATAGCTAACACATAATATTTTCAAAAGGTTTCATTGTAGTTTTTCAAAACATTTTCGTCAAAACATTTTATTAACGATATAGAAAGGTTTTACAACTATTCAAAATGTTATTGCTAGAACATATTTTCATGAAATGTTATCGCCATGTATTAAAGTGAGTACCGATTACGACTACGAGTTCACCAGCTAGGACACTCCGTTTTCATAATGTTGTGGATTGGTAATGCAGTAATAGAACATTTCCACAACATTTACAGTTTAATCTGTAGACTAAAAGTCTAAAGAAAGTATAGCAGATACGAGTAAGACAAAACTTCACATGATTTGTTTGTTGCTGATCACAGATAGTGTCACAGTCAGTTACATTTAGTCGTGCATATTTTGCGGGGACGTGAGAGAGACCGTTGAGAAGTGAATATATATATATATATATATATATATATATATATATATATATATATATATATATATATATATCTCTCTGGTAAAAGATCGACTCATTCTCTCACATTTAATTACTTTTCATGACTAGTTATTAAAACGTCTTAAAACGTTTTTGAAAATTTATCACAAAACTAAATGTTTTTAACATGTTCTTGAAACGTTTGTAAAAACTGATATCACACGAACATTTCGTGAAATGACGTCGGAATGACGCCACACTATTAGGTCATATCTTGCACCCGCCATCATCAGTTCAAGTTTACTCTACATCCAAGTGACATTGTGCAGCAAGAGCTGGATCGTCGAACTCTGATTTCTTAGGGGGTAAGCTCATTTTCAAAAGCAGTATCCGCTTGCTGAAGGCAGCGATTTCCTTACGGAATCCCCCGAAGTGGGGACCCAAGTACTGCAGTTGACCCGGCATTGAGTAGTCATAGCTTTCGGCGATAAATTTGCTTTCTTAAGCGATTCGTGGCTTGCAACGCGCCCCTATACTACCAGTTGTCGGATTTTCATTTTTGTGGGAGCCTCGGTGGCTGATGGGGGTAGGCAATAATATTCCTGAAAGCCTAATAACTGCACCAGTCACCAGCCTACACAAAACGTAGTGATCGAGGCGAAAACTTTAATGTGTAATTTGTGTCTATAGCGTATTCCAGAGGTCAGCTTGTGGCATATCATATCGTGTAGAAATACAGAGGGACACTGTTGTACTTAAGTTGGCTAATACAACAAGATGTTTCTCACGGCCTCATAATGTTAATGTGACGGTTTGTTTGGTACCAAGTTCTTTTAAAACCTTTTCTGTCGTTGCAACTCATTGTTAGTAATAGTCGCATTATTAAATGTGGCATTGAAATGAAGTTCACAAAGCATAAAGGTGTAAACAACTTTGAAAATACAGTAGTAGTAAAATGTAAAACACGCACAACATGTACAATATTAAATCGATGCACGTAAGACAAAAGATGTATGGAGTTCGTCCAGCCAGACATTGGCTTATGAGACACTATATACAATATAAACAAAATATACATAATTTATATAATGTGAGAGGTGGGAAATTTAGCTACGAAATCGGGAGACTCACATGAAACAATAACAATCTCCTCGATTCAACAACGAAAGAAAAAGAAAGGATATATATATAGGGAGACGACTGTCGTCTCTTAACATTTTAAAAAGCGTTGCGACAAGCAATTTTGGTCAAAAGTTTGAATTCGTTAAGTAAATAAATTTCTATTCTTCACATATCACATTAAAATTTCCGTTGTATTCTTCAGCTGCACAATATAAATACATGCAGCTGCGCATGGACTCGCACAACACTTGATATTTGAATTCTTTACAGACATTTCTTATGTCTTACCAACTGCACCTGTCACCCACACGCACAACAGTTAAAGATTGATGTGACGGGACTAAAGAAGAGAATGAGATCATACGACGACCGGTAACTCGTAATTAAATTCATTTCCTCAATGAAGACCTTCAAACATTCACGAAGGATGTTTGCAAGCGGGCACTTTAGTATTCATAGCGCATGTCAGCCTGTATATCAAAATATCAAAATCTCCCTAGAACTGAGTCTTGAAGTTCTTTGTTGACTGGATGTTGAAGTCATGGCATGGATTACCATGTCGGTCCTTGGCATGGATTACCATGTCGGTCATTGGCATGGATTACCATGTCGGTCATTGGTATTGTGTTTTCTGCAGTATATGCCGTTCCTTAAACGTTTCCGGGACCATACAAATTCACGTGAATAAAAGCATTTCTGGAATATTTTACAGAAATATTTCAGAAACGTTATAATCAAATGTTCACAGAAAATGTTTCTGAAACCATACATAATAACGCGAGGACAACATTTCCTGAACGTTTCGTAAAATGCTTTAGGGATGTTTATATAACATCTACGTGTTAGCTGGGTATGTGCAAGTCGGGTAGTTGTGGACCCGTGAAGATCCGGGGTAGCATAGGTCTTCAGCAACCCATACTTGCGGTAAAAGGCGGCTGTCCTTGTTATAAGAGGCGACTAACGGGATTGGGTGTTCAGAATCGCTGTCTTGGTTGATCCATGCCATCGTATCCCAAATGCGTGGATCGATGCTCATGATGTCACTCACTGGATTGTCTGGTCCAGACTCGATTATTTACAGACCGCCGTCATATAGTTGGAATATTGGTGAGTGAGGCGATAAACAACAAACAAACAAAAGGTAATTGTGCACGTGAAAATACCACCGAAAGCGTTTCAGGATGAGGTACGACAAAAGAAGAACATTAAATGTGTGGAAGCTACAGACGTAGTTTCATTGGGAAATTACTTTATACCCCACCCTGGCTGACATTCAATGCAGGAATTTATTTCTCTATGAGAAGAGGAGCCACATAATATATCGTTTGTGACCCACAACACAGTTTCTTTCAGGACATCTAGCAAACATTTTTGTGTTGTGTATAACCGGAGGTAAAATTCATTCACTTAAAGAAAACATATGCAATTAACCGTCCTATAACTAGTTCCATTTACCATTTAAAACACAGCTTCAAATTTGATTATCTCAATCAATCTATCAGTTCAAGGCAATCCTGATTACACAATCAGAATCTAGATAAGACGCATATATAATATATATATCATTGACACGAGCAATGGCCGTCGAGGTATAATTAATCAAGCATTGACCATCATGTGTATTTTATGCGGTTCTTATGACAATCATGACCTATGCTAGGACCTAGGGTCCCCCGTTTCAGCCCACTTGTGGACGGCCCCACAAAACGATCTTACAACTACAATGATCGTAAGCCTATGTTAGAGAAAGGCAGTTAAGAACGCCCCAGCACTAAGATCGCTTTAATGATCTTTGGCCCTGAATCGCCATGTAGGCTGTAGGTTTAGCAAAATATTGCCATTTAATACACAGTGTACATCCCCCCCTCTCTCTCTCTCTCTCTCTCTCTCTCTCTCTTGATAGATAGATAGATAGATAGATAGATAGATAGATATACTTCAAAATCACATTCGTTATTGAAGTTGTCGAACATTTTTATGTGGGACAATAGTTTCTTATATATCCTTCTGAAGGATGTATATAACACAGCTGTCCCACATGTACCGGCGCGGCAAATGTAAAGTCGTTGTTTATACATATCACGCTTTATCTAAAGTGGCCTTCAAAAGGCGTAGTATCAATGAGGAGAGAGTTTAAAATATGAGATGCAGATTGCGACGTTTCGATACAGGTGCTGTACCTTTATCAAGCAAGTGTGTTTAGAGACATACCACAACAACTTACCAGACTTTCGCGTGCACTCGAAATAAATCTAAAGACGTTCTTCGTAGTGACTGCAAGCCCACATGTGAATTACAGCGACAGTTTGTCCTGTGATTGGTAACACATGACACACCTACAGTGTTATCAGCGAGATGAACAAATACGCTATCTCTCCTATATCAAAGGTCCTGAGACAGCATGACATTGCAGCGTCGCAGGCAATATACCGCCATGCGTCAGCGACTTTACACACACTCACTCTCTCCTACTCCCCTTCTCGCCCTACCCCCCTAGACACATCCCATTGCCCAAGGAGACGTGTATAACGAAGTCACTTTTTTTATCTAATATCCCGTTCACTTGTACAACATCTACTCAAGTAAGTACTTTTGCAAATGTGTAACTATACATATGTATGTATATGTAACCTCACTATGCGTTCACCTGAAATTAACTGAGGTGTGTAAGTAAAGTATGTAAATGGTGTCAGGCTCACCTTCATAAATGTGTTCCCGACTTTCAACGTGAAAAGGGTTGTTTTCTAATGAAAGTCGAACGAGAACAGAGTTTGCATACAAATTCTTCGCATGAACCAACATAATTTAAACTGAACACAACCTTCTGACTCCCAGAAACCCAAAGAAATCCGCCCAGCTATGGATGTCCGCATAAAAGTTGGTATTGCTGTATACTGAATACCTTAGAATAACTTTAGAATACAGTCGTACAAGGCGACTAACGGGATCGGGTGGTCAGGCTCGCTGACTTGGTTGATGCATGTCATCAATCCCAATTGCGTGGATCGATGCTCATGATATTAATCACTTGATTGTCTGGTCCAGACTCGACTATTTACAGACCGCCGTCATATAGATGGAATATGGCTGGGTGCGGCGTTAAACAACAAACCAAACCAAACCAAATCAGAATACAGAACTGTTGCCAATTTGTTTGGTGTTTGTAAATCAACAGATATATTAATTAGATCATCCCCCGGAGTAAGCATCAACGCTCACATGAAACGAATTCATACAGTGTAAATTTGTACTTGCGTACATTTACATTTCCACCTGCTCCAGACAAATTTGCCCCTGGTGTAAATATACACGAGTAAACGTATTCGTATGCCAGAATACTCACGTGTGTATATTTACATATATGTACATATATTTATATGCATGTGCACTAAAACATGTAATGAACATGCTTTCTTTGATGCATTTATACGTGTCTTTTTCGGACGTTAGGACAACATATGTGCATTGTGTATACATACTGTCTTTAGATTCAGTTTTCAATTTGCCGTTTAAATAAACGTTTATATCTAAATGAAAGTGTAGTGTCTTAAAGATGTTGGATACAATGGTTCGTGCGCACCTCAGTTCACGTCGTTGCACGCGTGTTTACCGTGACGAATTACCTTACAAAATAGTTACATATAACTGTATAGGCAATTAGCACAAAAACACGAGAACGCGAGATCGCGACACTTGACCAATGTCGCAATCTCGCGTTCTCGTGTTTTTGTGTTAATTGCCTATACAGTTATACAGTCAAGTCCCGTTAATCCGACATCGATGGTTGCATATGATTATGTCGGATTAACGAGTATGTCGGATAAACGAAATTTAGTAGTATCAACGTTCGTGATCGAAAATTGGACAACTACACGATAGATAAGGATTCAAACACGTAATAAAAAATATAAAATAAATATTCATATTGTTATGTTACATTGTTAGCGGAATATGTTTTCTAATCATGCAACCTCTAAAGTTTAACACAAAACAACGGTTACGGACAGTATGACCAATTCAAAATACTTTAAAAAGCATAGTCTGGAATGGAAGTCGCAACTTTGAAACTGGTACCCAAAGCTTAAGAAAGCTGCTTTCTAAGTGGCTAACGTCGACTTCCTGTTGGTCATTTCATTGGTAGGTCATAGTTCGCGAAAGGTTGTTCTGACGTGACCTGTAATGGGATGTCCTCGTCGAGAGCGAGAACTTGTATCTGATTTGAATAAGATTGAGGTAATCTAAGCATGTGAATTATCCTGTTTTCTTTATTTAAAGCAGTAATTGTTGATTGTTAAGCAAGTTTATCTCTGCAGCCGTTGTAATATGCAGATACCAGCCGATTCGTCTCGCATCAAAACACGGGCTGTGTACTCGCGGGCAGATGACCACGGAGTACGCTGATCACTGTGTCGGATTAACGAGACTGATTAATGAGTGATTTCGGTAATTTGTTGCAAATTAGGTGTGTCGGAGTCGGAGTGCGAGATTGTCGGATTAACGGGACTAAATAGCACTGATTTAATCGGTTCCCATCATTAGTGTCGGATAAAGCCGATTGTCGGATTAACGAGACTTGACTGTATGTAACTATTTTCAAAAACACGAGAACGCGAGATTGCGACATTGGTCAAGTGTCGCGATCTCGCGTTCTCGTGTTTTTGTGCTAATTGCCTATACAGTTATATGTACTATTTTCAAAAAACACGAGAATGCGAGAACGCGAGATCACGACACTTGACCAATGTCGCAATCTCGCGTTCTCGCGTTTTTGTGCTAATTGCCTATACAGTTATATGTAACTATTTTCAAAAACACGAGAACGCGAGATTGCGACATTGGTCAAGTGTCGCGTTCTCGCGTTCTCGTGTTTTTGTGCTAATTGCCTATACAGTTATATGTACTATTTTCAAAAAACACGAGAATGCGAGAACGCGAGATTGCGACATTGGTCAAGTGTCGCGATCTCGCGTTCTCGTGTTTTTGTGCTAATTTTCCTATACAGTAATATGTACTTTATTTAAAAACACGAGAACGCGACACTTGACCAATGTCGCAATCTCGCGTTCTCGCGTTCTCGCGTTTTTGTGCTAATTGCCTATACAGTTATATGTACTATTTTCAAAAAACACGAGAATGCGAGAACGCGAGATCACGACACTTGACCAATGTCGCAATCTCGCGTTCTCGCGTTTTTGTGCTAATTGCCTATACAGTTATATGTAACTATTTTCAAAAACACGAGAACGCGAGATTGCGACATTGGTCAAGTGTCGCGTTCTCGCGTTCTCGTGTTTTTGTGCTAATTGCCCATACAGTTATATGTAACTATTTTCAAAAACACGAGAACGCGAGAACGCGAGATTGCGACATTGGTCAAGTGTCGCGATCTCGCGTTCTCGTGTTTTTGTGCTAATTTTCCTATACAGTAATATGTACTTTATTTAAAAACACGAGAACGCGACACTTGACCAATGTCGCAATCTCGCGTTCTCGCGTTCTCGCGTTTATGTGCTAATTGCCTATACAGTTATATGTAACTTTTTTCAAAAACACGAGAACGCGAGAACGCGAGATTGCGACATTGGTCAAGTGTCGCGATCTCGCGTTCTCGTGTTTTTGTGCTGATTGCCGATACAGTTATATGTAACTATTTTCAAAAACACGAGAACGCGAGATCGCGACACTCGATAAATGTCGCAATTTCGCGTTCTCGCGTTCTCGCGTTTTTGTGCTTATTGCCTATACAGTTATATGTAACTATTTTCAAAAACACGAGAACGCGAGATTGCGACATTGGTCAAGTGTTGCGATCTCGCGTTCTCGTATTTTTGTGCTGATTGCCTATACAGTCATCTTGTGGCTCAGTCGTCTGAGTTGTCGCAATTCGTTGTGTAGAGTTGCGTCCCTTGGATGTGCCAGAAACCTACAATGGTAGGTTTCCTCCCATTTTAAAGGGGCACTGATCTACAGCAATGCCCCGAGACTGGTTGTTGCCTTAGTTATTGTTTCCCCCCGTGGGTATCCGGATGATATAGCAGATATCAAGACTAGTTCGCGACCTGTGCTGCGCCATTCGTAAGCGCATGTATCGCTTTTATTGTTTGTATTTTATTGTGGGTATATTGTTTAGCCAAAATGTATAAAGTTTCACGAAGGCAATTTTTGCAACGCCTAAATATTCAGTTATTTTACAAATTGACTGAAAATCGGTCAATTTTTGTTATTGTTTTTACGAATTCCAAACATTTTTATGTTTAAATTTCATCACCCAGTGACTGAAAATGATAGGATTAAAAGAAAACAAAATTCAAAGTACGTTTCTATAGTTTTGGCTTCTAATACTAGCGGGTGGTCGGGTAGCCTAGTGGTTATTGCTGAAATAGTGCTAAAAGCGGGGTAAAAACAAACACTCTCACTCACTCTAATACTAGGATAAATAGTCTATTTTTAAGCCCTTTTGAACCTCCTAAAAATTGTTAGTCAATCTGGACTTGGATTCAGTCAATTTCTAAATTACTGAAATATTTAGACATTTTATAAATTGCCTGAGTGAATCACTTTTTACACATTGAGTGTAATATTCATGTATACACGCCTACAGGTACAAGAGGAACAAAACTGATTCTATCCAATGCAACAGCAAATGAATGAAAACAAAATGCAAATATCATAATTACGACCCACCGAAGTTTTATGTATACATCTGGGCAGCTTCCTTGTTCGAGGAATGTATCCGTGAATATTCACATATAGGAACAATATCCCATACGTCTGCAGCTGTACAAATAAACTTATTCGACGTCACATGGCTCTGTTACATTCAAATGTTAAAATATATACATATAGCGTTTCTGGATATTATAACCCGTGTTCGTTTCTCAACTGATCACTAAGTTTGTTTCAGATGTTTCACAAAGGTGTCAAGTCTCATCGGTCAGCACGTGTGACAATTATGTTCGTGATGTCCATGGTGCTTTAAAAATATCCATGGAGTTAGAAAGCAATGAACAATCAATAAACGAAGTATCGGCTAATCCTTTGAACCAAGTATGTTGCTTTTACATCGGCACTTCACGCCATGATATGAGTGTATTCCGTCTGCTTTAGTAAACCTACACATGTAAACACTTACAAATCCACTGTGCAAGATAACAGTGATTTATCAATGAACGTATTTTCTGTGGAACTTTGATGGCGAGGAATGATCCGTTTACAAAAAGTAAATGAACTGATCACTCCTCTAGCTGGGCTGCGACGTGAATATTACATAACATACATTTCACCTCACTTCAAACCTGGATTCCAATGAAATAATTACCCCAGACACAAATCATGCAAAATGGGAACCGTTGTCAGGTAATCTGAGTAGTGCTACCACTAACT